CACCCGCACAGTAGTTCAACCTAGCACCACAAGAAGTTCATCGAAGCGCCAGCGTCACCGCCGGCTTCTACTCCAACTCCGACATGTACCGACGCTCGTCCGGACACCGCGCCAGCGAAGAAACCTGGCACGCAAGGCTGGGACACCCAAGTAACACAGTGTTAAATAACACGATAAGAGCAGGCGTACTCGATAAAGATTCCCTTCTACTTCACGACGGCAAAGAACTCCAACGAGTTCGTGGAACGTGCTTCACCTGCCCTGAAGCTGACTTACCGCACCAGCCATTCGTCTCGCACCACAATCCAAGCGCACCTGCATACGCACCACTCGAGAAGGTGTACAGCGACATCCTGTACAACCGCGAGCCTGGACAGAACGCGTACAATTACACCGTCACGTTCATCGACGCCGCAACACGTTACGTTTGGCACCTGAATCTTCCAAGCAAGGACATGGCGTTCGAAGCGTTCGTCGCTTGGCTCCCTGTAGCGGAAAGAGAATCGGGCGTGAAACTAAAAAGCTTCCAGTCAGACGGGGGAGGAGAATACACCTCACAGAGGTTCAAGCAGTACTTGGCAGAGAGGGGAATCAAGCGGCTCATCTCCCTTCCCTACGCCCATCAACAGCAAGGTGTAGCAGAAAGGATGAACAGGACCCTCCAAAACACCATGCGCAAGCTGCTACGTGGCATGCACCTGCCCAACCACCAGTGGCCCGAAGCAATGGACCACGCTGTCATGCTGCACAACTTGCTCTCGTCATCATCGCTCCCGAACAACGCATCACCGCATCTGCTGTGGACAGGAAAATTGGGCAGCACAAAAATGTTGAGAGTTTTCGGCTGCATGGTACAGTACCGACCCCCATCTGCACGAGCCGGCCGATTCTCCCAACGAGCACAGTGGGGACTACACCTGGGCATCGAAAAACATTACAACGCATGGAAGATTTTCGACATCGAGACAAAGGAAACAGTGGCAGCACGTGACGTGATTTTCTACGAGAACCTCACCCTTCGATACTACCTCGCCAACTTGCAAGAAGGAAACCCCGGCCGCAGCGATGGTTTTCGTGGAGACCAAGCCTTCGCTTCGGCAGCTGATGAAGCTGACTGGGATGAGCAGAACGTGGACAGAGCCTCGGAAGAAGCCGGACCTCTCCCGTACTACTGGGTGGATGTACTGATGGACGACGACAACCCTCGCGAAAGCATCAACGCCGAAGTCTTCTACAATCTCGCCGACGACGGTTACGTTACACCCGCACGTGTCAACACCAACAAAGCAGAACGCGTAGGACCTAATTTTGCACCTGATCCAGAAGCGGGAGATAAAGCAGTCTCGAGGACACAACACTCCCCCGCTACACACAGAGTGGACTCCAGATACTTGGGCTCGTCACCGCAGTCCACGGAGCGGCGATTCCTAAGGAGCCAGCGACAGTTCAACATGCTCTGGGGGGGGAGCATAGAGAAAAATGGCGCGAAGCCATGGACAGGGAAATAAAGGCATTAGAAGAGCGCAACACGTGGAAAGTCGTTCCCATCGGCGTAGCACGGAACAAGACGATTCTCACCGGAAAATGGGTCTTCCGTGTGAAGACGAAGGCTGACGGCACCATCGACAAATTCAAGGCGCGCTGGGTCGTACGCGGCTTCGACCAAGAGCACGGACGCGACTTCACCGAAACATTCGCTCCGGTCAGCCGACACACCTCACTACAAATTCTTCTTGCGATCGCCGCCATGAAGAAGAAGAAGTTGCGACAAATTGACGTCACGAACGCATTCCTCTACGCACCTGTTGACGCAGAGATTTTCGTAGAACTACCGCACGGCTCCAACGGAGAGCCCAATCACATCTGTTAGCTACTCAAGTCACTCTACGGCATCAAGCAGGCCCCGCGACTGTGGCAACAATACCTACACGCTCGCCTCATTCGCATCGGCTTCAAGCAACTACCGCACGATCAGGGCATGTACCGGCTCACGAAGGGCACCGACTACATCCTGCCAATCGTCTACGTACACGATCTCCTCTACATCGGCTCAACCGACAGCGTCACTACCTGGTTCGAAGGGGAGCTGCAGCAGGACCTCGCACTCACGGTCTCATCTACCGTCACACAGTACCTCGGCCTCAACATCCGGGAAGAGGAAGACGCGATCTACCTCAGCGCCGCAAAGTACGCCGACACTATCGCCAAACGCTTCGCTCTCACGCCGACCGCCATCTCCACGCCGTACCGCTACACGACGGGAAATAACAAAGGAGGCTCTGCTCTACTCAAGCCCGCCGGCATACGCGACTATCAGAGGAAGCTAGGATGCCTCCTCTTCGCAGCTGTTACCTGCCGCCCGGACCTATCGTATTCTGCAAGCCAGCTCGCCACCTACCTTAAAAGGCCTGAAGCGGAACATCTGGCGGAGCTCGACCGCGCTCTTCACTACCTCGTTAGCACCCCGACGATCGGCCTGGCCTACCACAAGAACGCAACTACGACGCCTAAGCTAATCGGCTACGTCGACGCCGATCACGCCGGTGATTCCGACAATTGGCGCTCGCGCACCGGCTACATCTACCGCTTCGAGCCTATCGGTCCTATCTCCTGGCAGTCGAGCAAGCAGGAATTAATCGCCCTCTCTTCAGCAGAAGCAGAATATATTGCACTCTGCTCAGCCACCAAGGAAGGACTTTACCTTCGCGAACTGCTGGAAGAAGCGAAGCTAGCTCAGTTACCCAGCTTCACCCTGTTCTGCGACAACCAATCGGCAATTCGCATCGCCAACAAGAACGGCTTTGCGAACAGGACGAAACACATCGCCCTGCGATACTTCTTCGTGAAAGACGAGATCGAGAAGGGGAGACTCGAGCTGTCATACTGCCCCACGTCCGAGATGGCAGCTGACTACTTGACCAAGAAGCTCGGAAAGCAGAAGTTCGAATACTGCATGCTGCTGACTGGACAGAGCCACGTCACCAGCAGCGACACTCCAGAAGTGAAGGGGAGTGTTGGAAACAATTAATTCTAAGCGCCTCTGTCGTGTCGAAACACTAAGGCACAAGCGAAGCGAAGCCTAACGAAGCACCGGCGAGTCAACCCTCGGAGGTTGAAAGTAACTGTTGGAGGTTACGCGAAAGTCAAAGGTCAAGCGACCTTTGACCTGACAAGTACAGCGCGACAGCAAGGACACACAACTGACTCGCTACAGAGCAGTTGCCCGAGTCGTCACTGTATCGAACCGCAACAGCAACAGTAAAGTAGTTATAACTGTATCCTTTCATATTCCTTGTACTCTTATATAATCTTGTATCTCTTTGCTTTAATCAATCTATCTTGCCCTCACATACCAGCGCAAGGTGGTTCAACCTCTTCATTAAACGCTTCCGCTATTACATCGTTCCTACCCAGAGTTCACCCCTGCAAAGATCCTAAGGGCTATTTTCTCATCCGCTCTGCAGAGTTCACGCCGAGCCCTGAATCTCCGCTCCCGAAACACACAGTCACATCGTTCGGCCCAAATCTGGTGCACCGCGATGGCAGCCAGCGACGCCTCCGGGAAAGCTGAGGTGGATGCTGCTTTTCCAAACAGCAGATCCCCCAAATCAGCCACCGGCCTCCCCGGGTTGAGCATGCGCATGGCACGTTTGACTGCTCCCACCACCAGTTGAATCCTCGGGCAGGTGAAAAGACAATGCTCGAGGGTCTCAAACTCCCCACAGTGTGGGCAGACTGGTTGCCACTTAGGAAGGAAAGCCGCTCCCCCAGTTGCAGGTTAAGGCTGTGTATCCTTAAAAGCACATCAAGCTGTCTGTTTGGTGTCAACAGGGAGTCCCGAATCCTGATGACATTTTTCCAGTCGATCGACCCTGCCCATCTGCCCGCCCACAGCTCGCGTTTGGCGGACTGATGCTTCTGCCGTTGCCAGCTCCCTTTGAGCTCCCTTAGCGCAACCACCTGCCCATTTTCCACCACCGGTGTCCTCTGGAGCAGGGTGCGCAAGGGCGGTGGGGGGGACAATGCGTGCTCGGCAGACAGGAGCGCTGATTTCCAACACTGCGGCACAGCCTCTCACGCCCTCAGAGCTAATTTCGCGTGCTTAGCGCGTCAGGGTCTTCGTTAGGGTCTTCACGTCCTTGGCGCGCCGGCCCCCTTTGCCGTCCGCACGTAATAGGTCCCCTAGCCGTACGTCCCAGAGCTTCGCCGTTGCCTTCTGCCCTCCCACCGGAGTCTTGCCTTTCAACAAAATCTGGCGGTTGGACACCAGCCGCTCCTTCTCAATCTCTTCCCGCGACTGTTCCAGCGTCGTAGCCGCCAGTGGTGACTGCATAAAGTCCCCGCAGGCCAATTTCCATCTCTCGCTCTTGCCGCTCCAGCTCTTCAGAAGCTTGACATGAGAGACGAAGGTGTCCAGACCCAGTGGCAGGTCGGCCGCTTCGAGCATAATTTCCCGCTTCAGCTCATTTGTCTCCGTGAAGAGTAGGCCGATATGCCTCGCTGCGAGACAGGTGAGGGTGATCTCCGGATCCTTGACTCCCACGCCACCATCTTCCCTCGGCATGTACATCAGTTCTCTACTCCATAGGATAAAACCCTTGTCCGTAGACACCCGATTCGCTGACATGAAATTGTGTGTCAGTTTCAGGATCCTTCCCCACACGTCCACCGGAGGCGGGTACACCTGCGCCTGAAAGAAGATTATCGGCGAGATGTAGCAGTTAATCACTGCCGCTCTCGCACCGGTCGTGAGATGCTGTGTCTCCCACTGCCTCACCTTCTCCTTGATCCTTGCAAAGGCCTTCTCTCATATGGGGGCGCAGCTGCTGGATGGTGTCACCCAGACTCCCAGCAACCGCTCCGCCTCGTCCGCCTTCACCCATTTGAAACCATCTGTTTTGCTGGCCTGCTTGCCCAGGTTCTTCCCCAGCGGCAGCACTGCCGACTTGTCCTTGTTCGTGGCCAGGCCCGAGTCTTTTTCAAAATCGTCTAACAACTGTTCAGCTTCCGCAATCTGATCCTCCCCCTGCAGCAGGAGCGTCGTGTCGTTGGCATACCCCAAGTAGGCCAGCCGCTGCTCCCCCCCAGTGAGGCCCGACTTCCGGGTTGTAGTTGCCTGCGCCAGCGGTTCCACGGCAAATAAGAAAAGGTAAGGCGCTAGCGGGCAGCCCTGTCACCCCCAACACCACCTCCACTGCTTCACCGAGCCAGCCATTAACTAACAACCTCGTTTGTGTACCCTCGTGCAGGCCCCTGATCCAGCCGACAAACCTGCTGGGAAAGCCTATCCTCTCCAGCACCATGAACAAGTAGTTCATCGAGACCGAATCAAACACTTTCCTGAAGTCCACCAGCAGGAGATACCAATCCTTCTCCTTGTTCTTGGCGGCATCAATCACGTCCGCGACTAGCCCCACTGCATCAGACAGCCTCCGCCCTGGCAGAAAGCTGTACTGCTCCGGTGAGATCACTTCATGTAGAACTCTTTTCATCCTATCCGGGACCACCCTTGCCAGCACCTTGTAAGTGAAACTCAGGAGAGTAATCGGCCTGTAGTTCTCGATTTGATTTCGGCCTCCCTTCTTGTGTAACAGGATGGTGACCACATCCTTCGTGCTTGCAGGTATCGACGAGGACGCGGTGAAACTTTCCACCAAAACCATGAAATGCTTGCCCAGGACGTCCCAGTGCTCCTCAAACAGTTCTTTAGGCAGCCCGTCTCTGCCCGAAGCCTTGTTCTTCGCCATCGAATGGAAGGCCCGCTGCACCTCCTTTTCTGACTAATCCGCCGCCACACTCGCCCATGCTAGCGGCTACAAGACCCTTCCATCAACCGGCTGCCAGTCTGTCAGAGTTTTCTGTCTGTCTGGCCCGAATAGATCTCTGTAGACTTGAGAAGCCACGCCCAGGATCTCCTTGTTTTCAGTGATCAGAACCCCTCCGGCGCTTAACTCCTTAATCTGTGTATTTTCTTTCCTGTACTTGATTTTCGCAGACAGGTGCGGGGACGCCACCTCCCCCATGACCTCCTCGTTCATTCCAGCCATCACATGATGCCTCTCCTGCCATGCCAGCCAATAGCTTTTCAGCTGCGCCTCCCTTTCGTCCAGCAACTCCTTCAGCCGAGCACAACTCGGGTCACCCAGCCAGGCCTGCTTCAAGTCGGCTACCGTGTGCTGAAGGTGAGCCATCATAACCCAAATGTGCTTCCTTTCCTCCGTCGCATACGCTATAAGCCCGGCGTTCAGCCTTGATATCAGCAACTCGAAATCATCACCGTTAGCTGCTACCTGCTTCTCCACTGCTTCGATGACCTTTCTGACCCCTGGCCTCCCGATCATGTACGCAGGAAGCCTCCAAAGGCCTGGCCCCATCTGCACCTTCGTATTCATCCGGAAAGCCGCCTTCACCGCAAAGCTCTGATCCGAGATGGGATCCGCCGGCATGATGTGCGAGGCGAACTCCACATGCGGCAACAGCGACTGTGAGATAAGCACCCGGTCGATGCGTGAGCTGGACTGATTGGCATACGAGTAAAAGGTAAACTCCCATCTGTAGGGGTGCAGCACTCTGAAAGCGTCAGACACATTGAAAGCACTGCACCTCTGATATAGCTCATCGTTCTCCTTAGTTGTCCCTTTATTTTATGTTCTGTCCAGCAGCGGATCCTCCACCAGGTTAAAGTCCCCTATTATAATCAGGTGAGCGCCAGGGTGCACTGCGTCTACTACTGGCCCCGATAAAGTGCTTCCTGTCCGTCACATCCGCCGGGAAATATACAGCTACCAAGGTAATATGGAAGGTGTCCAGGTGAATGTTCATCTTGATGAGTCTTCCTGACGAGTGAATGAGTGTGTTATGCAGCGATAGCCCATGCCTGCAACAAACCCGGGCCACTCCCCCGGCTATTGCAGTGGGGGAGGCGACAAGAACCGACGGGTGAGCTAATGACTTCCAGTATGGGTGATCATCTGTGAGTCTGGCGTCTGCGAGTACCGTGGCATCAGCAGCTTGTTTTGACCACATTTTCGTGCGCTGTTGCTTGTTCCCATCTCCCAGGCCGTTGACATTCAGGCCCGCCACTGACAGGTTGTTACTCATTTAATCACTGCTGAAAAGCCTCTTCGCATCCACGGGCTAGTGAAACTAACAGAAACAACCACACGACAACCGACTACAGCAGCTGCTCTACGCCACCACAGACAGGTAATGATAATCCGTCTCAGATCCCGAACTCCTTGCGGATGACATGCAAGCCGAGCTTCTCCAAGGAGCTGCGGGTGGCCGCACCCAGCTTCTCCAGCCCCAGCAGATGACTTGCCGAGGGAATATGGTCCGCAGCATTCGAGAGTGCACAGCCACTCAACCCGGTTGCTCCCCCTGGAGATCAGCACAAAAGCCGCATCCAGCAGCAGCGGGGTGGTGAGCAGGGAAGCGCGAAGAGAGGCAGCTGCGAGGGACAGGCGGCGCATCAGCAACTTGCAAGGTAAGGAGGTGAAAACGACAACCGTAAAAAAGCAAGCGGCAGTTACCGTTAATCCTATGGACCCGACCCACTGTTCAACTCCACCTCCCTATGTTACTCTGACGCTCCATGATGTAAACATTATGGAACTTGTCATATTGATGACCACCACGGAGCGGACAGGTAAGCAACGGGTAGTGGGCCAATAGGGTCGTCCCTCCCAGCGGCTGGTGACGGAACTCGTGACGCCAGCGGTGCTTGTCGCCGGCATGCTGAAACACCAACCCCTTGTTTTTGTCGGTGTCGGCACCAGTGACCGGGTGAAGCACGCGGTGGAAACAGTGACCTTCAGCAAAGGCCGACTGCTTCCTGATCCTGAGCGGGTGCGTCACCATGACTTCTTTAACCAACTCCGGCGGTATGTCAGCGGGGACATTCTTGAAATAGACCTCCAGCACCTGCGGGCTAGAGGCCTTCTTGCGAAGGTAAGCCGCATCATCCTGGTGCAACCAGAAGCAATGAAGCATCGTGCCATTCGGGCGCTTGTGTTCGACCGATGTCTGCTTAATCTTCACCGCGTCCGATTCATGCAGGAAGGAAACCTGAAGCCGGCTGTATCGTGTCTTCGCAACAAACGTGGGAAGCAGCTCCTGGAACTTCATCGAGTCGAGAACATCATCAGTAAGTAGGTTAGCCTAAACACGCTTCATCAGCATCCTTACGGTCAGAATCACCGAAGCAACTTCACGAGAAGGAATGACCGGGAAAAGCAGGATCGCCGTGAAGCGCAAATGCGTGTGAGAACTCTTAGCCGTTTCAATCTCCAGTTCTTCATCAGAGTCATCCTCAATGAAGGAGTCATCTGTGGAGGTCGTCGCAAGCGCTTTCAACTTCTCTTCAATGGTGAGACCAGAACCACCAGCCGTCACTTCTGCTTCCGTCGGAAAGTTGTCAGTGACTTCCTTTCCCTTGCCTGGTGACGACTTGGTTGCAAGATCACCACCAACAGTAGGAGCATCGATTACAGGCTTAGCGCGCGACGACTTCGGAAGCATCGTGCAATGATGATAATGATCCGGCAGAAGCTCTTGGAAAAAGAGGTGATGAAACTGAGGAAACTGATGAGCCGGTCGTCTGAGCACATCACTGTTGTAAGCTCCTGAGGTAGACCATTGTTCTTGGCATAGATGTTGTGTCGCTGATGCAGTGCACAAGAAAATGGTCACAAGAGCAGTTCACATGCAGACTTATAAAGAGCACATGTAGTACACTGATAACAATTTAGCAAGAGTAAGCATGTAGGTATATATAAATATGTATATATTTATATTAAGGTTGTCAAAAACCAACGAGCAAGAAACAGAACAGAAGAAGAGGGTTTGACTACCAGGCAGTTGAGATACAAATAGCAAACCCTAACTGGGCCGTACTCACTATATAGTACCCCACTACGAACTAGACAATATCACATTGTGACACACCCCCATTGTCAAAGTGGGGTATAATCAGCACAGCAAGCAGTCATTTAATAAGTGCACAAGCACAAGCAAAGCTAGTAGGAAACATGAAGGACTCGTGAGGAGGAGGGACTGTGAGAGGAGAGGAGATTGGAGGCGGCGGCTGAAGCTGCTGGCACACGGGCTACTGGAGCAACTGGCACACGGGCTACCGGAGCAAGGGCCCCGGACTACTGGAGTAACTGGCTCCGCGGCTAAGACGAGCGGCTGGAGCAACGGACCCACGGGCGACTGGCGCAACGGGCTCGCTGGCTACCGGAGCAAGGGCATCCGGACTACTGGAGACTTTTGCTGGCTCCACAACGGCTACCTCCGTTCAACCTCCCCCACTGTCGCAGACCCCTTTTCACACAACCCCCTATGCACTCCTAGCCCCACTCCCACGGCACCCCCCTAGCGCCACTCCCTCGGCTCCCACACATCCACCCCCCTCAGCGGCAGCTGTAGCAGTGGGAGACGGAGGAGGAGGAGGAGCAGGGGACGGCTCACACACCCGCCACCCCATACGCGCCACCCCCATTTTTGCACGCGCAGGAGGGAGAGGAAGGAGAAAGGGGAGGGGCGGGGGAAGCAGCCCCCAGTGGGGTACTCTATAGCGAGTACAGCCCAATCTAGGGTTTGCTATTTGTATCTCAACTGCTGCTAGTCCAAACCCCTCTTTCTGCTTCTAAACTTTGCCTACTACTTTCGACATGCTATCAGAGCAGGTCGACCCTCCTGGGTCGATCCTATGGGTGGGCCCACCACCTAAGCCTTCCGCTGCTACTGCTACTGCTACTGCTACTCTGTGTGTCGCACGCCCCGTGGCGTGCGACGGATTTTTTATCCCGCCGTGCGCCCCGAGGTGCGCGGCGGTTTTCTGCCCGCCGTGCGCCCCGTGGCGCGCGGCGGTTTCCTGCCGTGGGGAGCCCGCGCGCGCCCCGCCCGTCCGTTGCGGCGCCCTGGGGAGCACGCGAGCGCCCTGCCCGTTCATCGCGGCACCCTCGGGAGCCCGCGCGCCCCGCTTGTTCGTCGCGGCGCCCTGGGGAGCACGCGAGCGCCCCGCCCGTTCGTCGCGGCGCCCTGGGGAGCCCGCGCGCGCCCCGCTCGTTCGTCGCGGCGCCTTGGGGAGCCCGCGCGTGCCTCGCTCGTTCGTCGCGGCGCCTTGGGGAGCCCGCGCGCGCCCCGCCAGTCCGTCGCGGCGCCCTGGGGAGCCGCGCGCGACCCCCCCGCGGCCCCCCCCCCCCGCCAGTCCGCCGCGGCGCTCTGGGGAGCCGCGCGCGTCACTTCCCTCCCCCCGCCCTGTCCGTCCGTTTTGGCGCCCTGGGGTTGCGCGCGGTCCCCCTCTCGCCGTCCCCCGCGCTCCTTCCCCTCTCCCACCCGTTTTAGGGTTTGAGGATGTGGAGTGTGGGGATGGCGGGTGTGGGGGTGCCGGTTGTGTGCCCCGTCCCCTCCTTCTCCTCCTCCTCCGTCTCCCGCTGCTGCAGCTGCCGCTCAGGGGGGTGGTTGTGTGGGGAGCCGACGGAGTGGTACTAGGGGGGTGAAAGGGGAGTGGAGCTAGGGGCGAAGCAGGGGGTGTGTGTCGAGGGGTGTGGGACTGTTGGGGGAGGTTGAGCGGAGGCCGCCGTCGTGTCGTCTGCAGCGCCTGTATTCCGGGGTTCTGATAGCCACCGGTAGCTCAGAGAGCCGGTTGCACCTGTCGCCCGTGGGTCCGTTGCTCCTGTCGCTGCTGATCAGACGCAGAGCCTGTTACTCCTGTATTCCGGGGCCCTTGCTCCCGGTAGCCACTAGAGCTGCACCAGAGCCGTCTGTTGCCCGTGTGTCTGCAGCTTCAGTCGTCGCCTCCACTCTTCTCTCCTCTCGCCAGCCCTCCTCCTCCTCACTTGCCCTCTGTGACTGCCTCTAGCTTTGCTCATAAAATGTGAACTACTATTATGACTGCTTGTTGTGCTGATTACACCCCACTTTGGCTATGGGGGTGTGTCAGAATGTTGTATTTGTCTAGCCTGCAGTGGGGTACTCTATAGCGAGTACAGCCCAATCTAGGGTTTGCTATTTGTATCTCAACTGCTGCTAGTCCAAACCCCTCTTTCTGATTCTAAACTTTGCCTACTACTTTCGACAGCCCCGCAGCGCACGGGGTCAAGGGGCGGGGCGCGGGTTTAGGAGGGGCGGCGCGCGGGTCCCCAGGGGCGGCGCGCGGGTCCCCAGGGGCGGCGCGCGTGTCCAGCAGGGGCGGCGCGCGGGTTCCGCAGGGTGTCGCACGGGTCCAGCGGGGCAGCGCGCGAGCCCCGCGGGACGTCGCGGGGGTCCGGCGGACCAATTAGTGCTCCCATGTGACGATTGCTGAGTAGCCTGGTCGTCTGCCCAATTAGTGCCTAGTGACCTCGTCCTCCAAGCACAAGCCCCATGCCCGATGGCAGCTCACAAGCTCTGGATACGGGCCACTCGGCTCTACGGACTCTTCCGAAGGTGGAGCTGAGAGCGAGTGGCCTGTAGGCCAAAGGGTGCGATGTGGCGAGGAGAACTGAAAGCCGAAGCGCTGAAGGACCTGGTGCACCATGTGTGACTGAGTCAAAGTAATGATGCGC